TTTGTGCCAAATTTGAAGATATTCCCTCAAAGAATTGCTGAGATACGGCATTCACAAGAACAAGACAACCATAAGGTCACAGTGACTTAAGCCTCTGACTTTTGACTACAAATAAAACTAATTCATCCTTAAGTACAGGTGGACGTTTGTGCCAAATTTGAGGAAAATCCCTCATATCCTAAGTTCTTGAGGCATCACATTAACAAGAATGGGACAGATGGACTGACAAAACATAATGACTACGGCCACAGCTGTCACTGGCGCAGGGGCATAATCAATTAATTATTCCGAAAGCAGGGGTGGATGACAAACAGAAGGAAGAATTACTTATTGCTTATTGCTATCAGGGGTTGCCACCCAGGTTAGAAGAGCCTACTAAGTAGTTAACTAGTTCAACACATTGTTCCTGGCAAGATTATGAATTTGATTCTGGGTTATTCGAAGTGCTTCAATTTGAGAGTCACTTCTAGAACAACATCAATACAGCACTGGCAAAAGGACATTCATCACTGGATGCACCTTTTAAGTGATCCTGTTGACCATTAGTCCTCAAGTCAGAGATGGAGTGGGGAGGCCCCAGACCAAGTGTGGTGTTCAGCTGCCCCCCATCAGAGTCATGATGGTCAACTTGACTCTGTTTGGAGGTATCAGGTACTGTTGCTCCCTTGGCGAGCTCTTTGGCTGTACCCTCAAGTCATAGCTGACAGAGGTGAATTGATCAAGACTCCCTGGAAAATTGAAGACCTTGATCTAACAAGATTGTAGCCTTACACAATTCCAGTGGCACTTTGCTGATCTTTAGGGTTTAAGAGAATAGAATCAGGTGGCTTCAACAAGCCCAAATCCTGGGCAGTATCACCTTACAGATGAAGAAGAGCTATGGGTACCCTTTAGCAGACTGACAAAGGAGATCTGGGTTAACCAGGATAGGGGGTGCTAGATAGAGACTAGTCAGAGATAAAAGTCTTCAATGCTGGCTACAAGGTCAGGGCTAAGAGGAAGTCAAGGGTGCAAGACCCAGTTGAGAACTCAAGAGCACCAAAGGACAGGAAAGAAATTTCATGGCTGCAGAATAAGCAGCGGCAGAGTGGGTATGCTGTTTTTGGCTGGGCTGAGCCAGTATGGTCCATTTACAACATCCTCTCCAACCCATCCAACCTCCACCACTGTGGTCTGGCAAAAACAACAACATGCCCACTGTACCAGAGAGGAAGATCACTGGGACATATCCAGAGCTGTTGTCTGAAGAGCCTTGGGGAGGGGCAGATGCCATCTGAAATAGCATAGGAGTCGTCAGAGGCAAACAAGCATGTTTGTGCACGGAAGGCAGCCTTGTTAAGGGGTGAAGAAGGTTCCTCAAGGATGAACTTGGAGGAGGAGGCCTCTGACAGCAAGAGAGCCAAGTACACAAACCTAATAGGCGAGGGCAGCAGCCGAGAATGGCATGCACATATACTCATTGAAGTTCACTGCTGAGGCTTTGCTTCCAAGTCCCTCTGCAGAGCTTTAAAGCTTCTCTGTATCATAGGAATGCAAAGGAAAAGAGCCATCATTACCATCACAGACATCAAGATGGCTGTGGATCAAAAAGCATGATCCATGAACCACACTCTTGGATTCAAGCTGGGGCCTGATCTCCTCCAACTGAACTGCCTGGGTACAGCAGTTTGATGCTGGAAAAATAGTCAGTGACCACATGGTTACATCACTGATGATGTGTCTTTGTGCACCACAAGGCGTGAGAGAGACCAGACCAGGCCTCATTAAAACGAGACTGAGTCTGTTTGTACCTATCCTGCAACATGCTGTGCTGGTAAGGAAAATACTAACATTGACAAACAGGGTAGATTTGAAGATGAGGAAAATACCAACAAGTTGTGGTACATGCTCTAGACTTTGCAATGAAAAGAGAGTCACAGTTCAAAAAGCTGAGGTATTTAAAGTATTCTCACATAAGGCAGACATCCCTACAGATTTTGCACAGACATTCATCGTCGTGTGTACAAGCTTTGACACAAATACTTAAACACCAAAATACAGAAAAAAGGAAAAAGAAGGGCCTGTACTCAGACCAAGAGGTTAAACAATTGACCTGCTCCTCACTTCTGAAGGTGGAGGACCTGTACTGAGTAAACACTTGTGGAATCATTACTGCTGTCTGAAGTACAGCAAGTACAAAAGACAAACTCTTGATTTTACTTCTGTCCCAGCCACTGTCTGGACTGAGTTTGGCTGAATATAGCCTTGTCCAGACGTCTAATCTGTAACATTGCCGGCTTCATTTATCTGTTAAAGTAATGGCCTTTTGGCCTTTCAAACATAGGCCTCCATTAGGGAGATGTTCCATAATGACTGTTCGAACATGAAAGGACTATAATGGCTCGAGCTGCAATACTCATGTGATATTTAGAATCTGACATACAAGATAAAGGTCCTTTTTTCCTCCTTACCACAGTGGCAGTAAATCTGGAGAGCTGTGGTGAGTTGGAAAAGAATGATATTAAGAAAGAGGAGTATTCTCTAGTCAAAAGGAACAACGTCAGTGTCACACTTGGCGCAGGCAGCCAAGCAAATCAAGCAAGAGGCCCTGTTTTGACGCCAGTAGATGTGGTAGGGAACGGTGGGACAATGACAAATGCAGACAAAAGGCTGATATTGGCAGTATTTAATTACAATAAAGGTCATTCTATTGTTCAAGTACTAATCGGCAAACGCATGCATGGAGTTGCATGAGCAGCCAGGTCAATCTCTCTGGTGAGTATAACAGCGTTTAGAGGAAGAAGAAGACACTCCATACTTGGTCCACATGTTGACTTGAACCTGCAACCCCCGGGTTCCCAAGCCAAGTCCCTATGGACTGAGCTTCTGCCGCCCCTTTATTCTTAATCATATTTTTCTTTTTTGAAGATATACTGGACCCTCAGATCAAAAGTTATCCAGGCCTTCTTACACTGCTGATGAATAGGCTGGCTAGCTACTTAGCTGTTGGACTGCGAGATCTACAGAGAACATGATAAGGAAGCAAAGGGGGAATTCATATCTTAAGCCGTGATACTTCATGTGGGTTATGTAATCTCCTGTCTTATTACAGGAGATTAATTTGTGTGTGTTTTTCCGTTAATCACATTTGATCAGCCGGTTGCACACACAGCCTCTCTCCAAATGGGCACCATGCTGTTTTGCTGCGCGTTCTTGAAGTGGCTGTGCCTGTAGTGGCGTGTCTCAAGCCCAAGTTGTTAAGTGGGAGCACACTTCAAGTATTTTTTGGTGAAGCAGGTAAAAGATAAGAGGGTGTGCAATAAATCAGACATTTCCTGTTCTCATTTCACATCTCCATCACACTTAAGCGGTTTTAAAAAGGTAGGATGTCTGTTTTGTACATTGTATTTCGACTGACTAAGAGGAAGGTGTTTTTTTTTTGTGATCCTGTTTAAAACATGGTTATATCTGTGTTCACGAACTGTGTTGTGTAATGTATTAGTAATGTAGTCCCGGCCACATGCTGTACTTTGTATCCCCTAGAGCGGGCTACAGAATCTGTTCTGTTTATGCGTGTGGGTGTTTGTTTGTTTAGTATGGTGTGTGTGTATGTGTGTGTGCAGTGGAGGAACTCAAAGCTGGATGTCATACTGGTGGAACCGTTAGAGCCCTCTTTAACTAGATTCCTTCAGCCGTCAATCACTCACACTGGCGCTGGTGTCAGATGTAACCTTTCTACCAAAATCCATTTCGGTATTCAGACAGGAAGCTTCTCATGACTTTGGTGGTTGGACTTAAAAAAAATAAGCAAATTCAAACAAGCCGGAGTAGTCTGTTCGCTCCTACTTGAATCTCTCTTTAATGCTGCTGCGGCTGGATGTTGTTGACCTTGTCTAAGGTCACTCAGCAGTTTGGAGCCATGTGCAGTGGGCTTGTTGTGTGTGGCAGAGAGATAGCAGCAGAAAGATCTTGGGGGAAAACAGTGTTAAATCGCACAGCCATGGGATGACCATGGGGTTTGGTAGCTGTAGCGTAAATGATAACTTTGCTACTGACAGATTTTTCTTTCACCCTATAAAAGGGATGCTGCATCCATATATTCATATTCGCCTTCTTCTATTGATATCGCCTTTCCTGTGAGGGATATCTTTTTCAGAACGTGCTGCTTGTTTGTGCTCTGTTAAAGGGGCAGTTTGGAGAAACAGGCAGGAGTCCGACACCAAAGCTAAAAAATATACTGGGAGTATTTTCCCTGCTTTACCTTTTCTACAGATTACCCATTTCAATTGGCAAGCCATTACCAGCGTCAGTTCCCCATCTATGCATTCGTCAGTGCCACCAGACTCCATTGACAAAAACAGCAATTTTAGCTCACTGAACAAAGGAGCCGTTTCTCTACCGCTGCTTCGATCAGTTTGCTAGTTTGTGTTATTGTGCAACTTTGGTTAATCTGAACTAACCTTTTTAAATGTCAAAACACAAAATTACACAAACAAACTAACGAACCAAGGCAGCGGTACACCAGCAGCTCCTGTGTTCAGCTGTGTTAAATCGCTGTTTTTCTTAATGGAATCTGGCTTTAAAGAGAGCGATATAACGGCTTCATTTTCTCATTGTAAATCATTGTCTGACATTAAGGTAAAGCAGTGGAAGTATTGTAAATATAGCATACACTTGAACTGATACTTTTTAGGTGGCTAAAATACATTTTGGTGCTGGCCTCCATCCACAGCAGTACACTGCTTAGCTTCCATTTCAGACTCCAGCCTGCTTCTTCAAACTAGGGGCGTGCCAACCGACATCTACCATCCATAATATACCGTCTATGGATAGGTATCGCATAGAACCAAATTTCAAAAAAATCTGAACTATCCCTTTAATGCAACATAAAAAGAGCTGACTAACTGTTGATCAGTGCCTGCAAGATTTTCCAGTACAAATTTTGAAGTGGTAGCTGTTAGTTTCCCGTGTGCCTCTGAGCTGAACAAAGACCACATCAACCACAGCATCCAAGTACCAACCTGCGGTCCCAAGCACCTGACGGAGGATTGCACAGAACAGAAGTCCTGGAGAGGAAGATGGGAGCATAGCAGAGCAGAGAAGCAGAGTGGTCTATAGGCTTGACAAACTGCGAGGCAGCGCACTGAAAGTGGGGGCATGCCGGCTGACACCTACTGTATGTAATATGCTGACTATGGATGAGTACACTATACAACCCCACTTAAAATCTGAACTATTCCTTTAACTCGACTGAACACACACCTTAATTAGCTTTGATGCAAATTTTAAAAAGAGGTTTTCTGCTTCCTCTCTTTTTCATCTTGCTTTATGACGCTGCCTTTTTCTTTCCATTCAGTGACACACAACCATACCCCCCCCCCACCCCCTTCTCCTCCTTACCTCCTGGAGCCGCTGGATGTGTTCTCTGCAGGTTTCTAAGTCGCTGTCACCAGAAACCACGATCAGTCCCAGAGGAATGGCTGGAGATACAGAGGAACAAGACAATTATCCAACAGCACTTTGATATCTACTTATACAGCGGTGCTCAACTCTGGCCCTCAGGACCCTGTGAGTACTGCTAGTTTTAATTTTGGTCATATAGCGGCAACAGACCTGGGACTCCACATGAATCTAATTAAACATGTAGCATAGACAAGCAGCAGCACGGTGGTTGCTGAGGACCAGAACCTGGAACCACCGACAGAAACTTCTCGACTGATATTTAAACTGGCTCAGTCTTATGCTCAGTTATTTAGGGTACAAAGATGGGAGAATATATGCTGTAAATTAAACTGATGTGTTTGCTGAGAGCATCCTCTTTGTGACAGAGAGAAACAGCTTATAGGGAAGGTCAGAACAGGAGCTGTTTAAAGTCCTCCAGAGCAAATTACAAGCCAAGGGGGATTTAATGTTGTGTGTTAAGGGGTTGTGGTGTAGCTTTGGAGCCACATGTCAGGATGTCAGGGCTGTGTTCACCACAGATACACCACTTGGGGACCAGAATAACTGTGTCTGGACTGTATGGGTTGCTTGTGTCAAGACACATTAATCAGTCCCCTTTACACAGAGGTGGTGCTATAGAGTTGCAGGGCTTTATAAACATTAACTGCATTAACATGTCAATAACAATCATTTACCATCTGTGTGGCTGATCTCGTCCCCTGCTAAGAGCGCAAGGAGCTCCCATACCTCATTGTTTTCCCAATTTGTGGACATTCTCAGCCGCTATTAGTTTTCTTTGAGTTAGCTGCTAACTGCTATCAGTTATGCCACACCTGGGGCTGGGTTATTCATTTTAAATCTAATCTAAACCGACATTCAGAACCTCTTACCGACGTATTCTTGCCCATGTCGGTAATTTTATTTTTGCTTTTTAAATTCCGTCTTTCCCTTCTTTGTGTGTTTATGTTCTGTCCCCTTAAAAATGAACTACTGGAGCACCCGATGCCTCAGTGCATGGGGACTCAGTGGGTCCTATGTATGGGGGCACTGTCCTTGCCGAGGCGGCCCTTTGCTGCATGTCGTCCCCTCTCTCTCACCCCTTTTCACTAGTGATGTCCAAATGAAGCTTTGTGAACCACCAGGTGTATTTGCTGAACCCACTAGATGGCGCTCTTGGTGCAATGAAAAAGGCTCAAGGGATGGCAATGCAGTTTGGTTTCAACTCGCAATGGCCAAATGAAGCTTCATAAACCATTTTCTTTATTTTTTGGGTCCACTCTGGCACTCTTTGTTCAACAAAGGGTTGAAATCAAACTGCATTGCCATCCCTTGAGCCTTTTTCATTACACCAAGAGCTCCATCTAGTGGGTTCAGCAAATACAACTGGTGGTTCACGAAGCTTCATTTGGACATCACCCCTTTTCACGCTTAATACTGTCCTACCAACTAAAGGCAAAAAGCCCCCCCAAAAAATAACCTTCAAAAATGTACTACTGCATGTGTAGTCACGTGACTCCGCCTGTCCAGTCCGCAATCTGGGAGCAACTTGGAGGTGAACTCAAACACAGAGCCAACAGAGCAACTTAGAGAAAATTGAGTCCTTTGTTAGGACACATTTTGGCTTTTGTGAAGAAAACGAAATCAAATGTAAAAACTGCAGAAAAAATGTTTCAGCAACCAAAGGTAATACCACCAATCTGTTTCAGCACGTGGCGCACAATCATGTTATCGAACAGGAACAGTGCATGGCTAAAAATGGAGGTCATATTTGTACAGGTGTCGCTGCACAATAGAACAGTGCACCACCACTCAAGAGTCTGATGAATCGTCCTGCAGGTCTTTTGCAGTCAAACAGGGGCTTTGATTTGCCTTTCTAATAATCCTATGAGCAGCTCTTTCTGAAAGTTGTCCCTTGTTGGGACAAGGTTTCAGGAGTCAGAGTATTTATAAAGCTTTGAAATTTGCATCACCTGGCCTTTCCTAATGATGACTGTGGACAAGCCAGAGTCCTAACAAGCTAATTAAGGTCTGAGACCCTGGTAAAAGTTGTCTGAGAGCTCAAATGTCTTGGGGTGCCCAAACTTTTGCATGTTGCTCCTTTCCTTGTTTTCACTCTACAATTGTACAAAACCAAAATAATACAATAATCTTTTAATAAGCTTATATTTAACTTCATGCCTTTTGGAGATCAGTTCATCTTCTACACACTTATCTATTCACAGCACACAAAATCTAACCCAAGCTTTCGCATGCCACTGCATATTGATGCATAAAAGGCACAAGTCGGTGCATAGAAATTCACCAGAAAGCATAAAATTAAGCGTTTGATGCTCAGAATTTTCTGGCAGAGGACAGCCAAACCCTCGATTTGTATGTGTCGATTCTAAACCTACACCCTTGGCTCTGTATCACAGTGAATAAAAGAACATAGACACATAGACTGTGCAGCAATTGTCTTCTATTCAGTGATGAAACAAAGACCAATTGGAAGTTACTTCAAAGTAACACTGGTTCTATAAACGCGTGTATAGCCCACTGTTGCTCAATATCAAGAAGAATATACGAAAGACTATAATTAAAGCATGATACAGCCTAATCATGTGTGATACGTTTGTTTCATGTTGAGATGGTGAAGCCCAGTATTTAAGAACGACATCAATATTGGACATTTCCAAAAATGACAGTTTATACTCAGTGCCAGAACTCCGTGCCAAGTTAACGTTGATGTTTTTATGTCCTTAAATGAGCCTGACCAAGCTGGCTCGTCATCAGTAAGCCGACATAGGTCGTTGAAACAAGACTGCTCCCTGAGGCAGCGCAGGCCAACCGCCAGCTGCACCAACACAACACTGCTGGCTGAACATCACACAGCTCGTTGTGCTGAAAGAGCTGTCAAACCCAGCGAGGAGCTCCTGAACCCACACACACACACCTCTCATTGATACTAAATGTCTCAGTGTGGAAGACAAAGACAGCAGTGGGAGCAAGCAGTAGTAACTTCACTATGAGAAGCTGTGTCTCAAACCGGATTCTTCTGTACTTGCTGTTTTGACTGCGTAAATCATTCACACTAAGAAGTATGGCAAAATGCAGTGTACTACGTGTCTACGTACAGTGCATGTAAAATTATACAAGGTACAACTCCAGTGAAATGTGATCCCATCAGCTCCTTTAACTTGCTCGCTATAGTTTAGTCCTTTTGTGCATCTTCTTACATTGTTGGCTGCTGCTTTATAATTGTCCATGTTTCCGGATGGTTCTGGTAATCCATGGTTTCTGGGTGTGGGATTAATTAACTGTCCACAAATCTCAACCCCTACAAGACAGCCAAATGGTCGCTACTCCTGAACACGAGCAGCGCCTTTCTGCAGCCACAGCAGGAACAGGACAGCACCGCATATTCCCACCATCACGCCAGTCCTTACTCACCGTAAATCTCCTCTCCTTTCACCACAGTCCTAGTTCCTAGTTGAGTTCCTCATCCTGATAGGTGACTCACAGCTACACGCCATCACCATCCAAAGCCAGCCAAAAAAAACCACTACCAAGACTTGCTGAATACATATAACAGCATAAATTCAGCCCAATTTAGTGAAGCAGACAAGAGGCAACTGGAAGCGACCACGTCTACGTCATCATACTATAACAGTCAAAATGTGAAAGGTGAAACATTGGACACTTCTCACCCTCAATGGTCACTTAGTGGTGCCCGAATGAAGCTTTATGAACCACCAGTTGTATTTGCTGAACCCACTAGATGGTGCTCTTGGTGTAATGAAAAAGGCTCAAGAGATGGCAATGCAGTTTGGTTTCATCAAGTAATGGCCAAATGAAGCTTCATGAACCTTTGTTTTGTGGGTCCACTCTGGCACTCTTTGTTCAACAAACAGTTGAAACCAAACTGCATTGCCATCCCTTGAGCCTTTTTCATTACACCAAGAGCGCCATCTAGTGGGTTCAGCAAATACAACTGGTGGTTCATGAAGCTTCGTTTGGACATCACTAGTCACCATGTTGCCTACGTAGTGAAAGGGCTGGACCAAAAACACATCAAACTTGTGACATGTCAGCCCATTTTTGACAGTGACGTTACAATCTAGGGGTGTAGATACGTTTGGTGTATGTGCATGTTAAATTGTCTTCTTCACTGTAAAAGTTTCTGTATTAAATTTGTGGTCAGATGCTTGACAAGCTGCAACTATTCGCAAGATGCAGCAGCTATTGTTGTCTCGGTATCAGCCGTGGATATTCAGAATTTGCCGTGAAAGCACGTTCTAAACTGATAATAAACAGATACAGAAGAAGACAAGCGAGCAAACAAGCAGATATAACAAGCATATATTTTGGCAAGTAGCAATCGTTGTCATAGGTTGTAGGGATGCACCAATCCGATATGTGGAGCGAATATCGGCTCTGATATCATCAAAATAGTGGGATCGAGTATCGGAAAATGCAATCTATACCTGAGGCGATCCTTTCCCTTTAAATCTATTGCGACATGAGCTACGTCATACGTCATTGAGCGAAGGAGAGAATCTGCTGTGTGGAGGTATTTCACACTATTTCAACTGCTGTTGCACAATTGTTTATTTTTGTTAACAATAAATAGTTCATCATTGCATTAATCTGTTTCATCTTGTTTCATTTTATCTAAGGAAAGAACTGTGTAGTCATCAGCGCCTGATGCCTCAAGTCTTTTCTTTTCTATATGTAATTGTACATGTATATAGCTTTTAAGGTCAACCATGGTATCGGATCGGTATCGGGTATCGGCTGATACTCAAAGCCACAGCATCGGGATCGGTATCGAAACTGAAAAAGCTGGATCTGTGCATCTCTGATAGGTTGGCAATTTACTGTCAGAAGAAAAGCTGTCAAATCTCTGTCATTTCCGGAAAGTTTGGGTTCGGGGCAAGGGTTAGGGTTAGAGTTCTGGGTTGGGTTTAGGGTTGACGATGTCTGATTTGAGACAACACTGTCCTCTCAAAATTTGCGCACTACGCAACTAAGTTCGTAGAGTACACAGTGTACTACAAGTAAGTACACTAACAAAAGTTAGTTAGTTACATTCTCACTCTGACCTCATCACAAAATCAACGTTTGGTCATGGACTTTCAATGTCGAGAAATGACGTGGCATTTCAACATAAACGCACCTCATTCATACAACAACGCAAATTGACATTTTTTAGTCCTTTGTCGCCTTTGTCCAAATGCACATGGTTGAGTTTAGGAAAAAACTATCAGAGTTCAGTTTTACAATTTTATGGGAAGTGAACAGCGGCCTTCTGGATGAAAGTTGGTGTTTGTTGGACCCATCCACCACCCCTCTCATCGACCCTACTTAGACTTCTGCCGCCTTGTTGTCCCACTGTGTTACCCTTTGACACTGCCAGGTGCAGTTTAACATAACAGCAACAGGCTGCATATCATGCTCATGTGAAAGGATGGCTTTCTTCGTCAGTTCTGACGCCAGAAGTCACTGAACAACTTCTGGATTACAATGACTCTGGAGTGAGCCTGTCCACTTTTTATAATTCATTACTCTTCAAACATTCCATGACAGGAAGAGAGCAGAGAGGTTTATTATCAAAGTGCATGTTGAAACAATCACCACACCAAACACTGATTCAAATTCCAGCTACTGCATTCATTTTCATCGACTCTCCTTCAGCATGTGCTTTTTTTTCTTAACTGACCTTTTCAAGTGGCAGCCAAGTAGAAATTAATTGGTTGTTGTGTATGGTGATGCACTGTTTTGTAATGACAGCTCATAGAAATACAAGCACAGTTCAGGATTTTGGTACAAGACGACACGACGTGGAAAATGTAAATTGGAGCGAGCAATTTCCAAACACACTGTATATATTAGAGCTGAGACAACAACTTGATTATTTGATTAGTCAATTAGTCGCGCAGCAGAAAATTAATTGCCAACCATTTTAATGACTGATTAATTAGGTCACAGAAAGCCAGATATTCTCCGGTTCCAACTCATCACATGTGAGGGTGTAGAGTTTCTTTTTTTGTGTGTGTTTTATGTCATTATTAACGGAGTAGCTTTGGGTTTGAGACAGGTGTTAGAGAAAAGTGCATTAAAACAGTGTATTTACTTATGTACTGAGGGAATAGTTGGACTGATAACCCACTCGAGAAGCCTTGTTTTGTTTGCAATGTTTTATTTCAAAGCAAGTAGTGTGATAAGAAATTGAACTTGGTGGAATAAATCAGTTGAAAGACTTGAACTGAATTTAAAAAATAGCAGAAGCTCTCTGAGGCCCCTCTCACCCCTTGATGGCTCAGAATTCATCTCTAAATGCAATAAAATTTAATAAAAAAATCACGGCTCAAAAAGAAAGAAAGAAAGGAAACTGACTTTGTAGAAAAAGCAAAAAAAAAAAAAAAATTTAAATTCAAAGGTGCATGAGAGAGACATGGATCAAGAGTGGAAGGGTGGCCCACTGCTGATGCATAGTGCCCAGAATTCGGTGCTACACCCCTGTTCCTATTCATACCAGTCGCAACGACGTCACGACAGTATTTGATCGGAATTTTGAATCGACTCTCAAACAATAGCTCTCACATAATGTCATACACAACCTGCACGGATGATACGTGTGCAGTTCTGAAAGGTCATCCAAATCTTTATTACACAAATCTATATTCAATCCATGTTCAGGATGCAACACGGGGCGACAGAGAGAGATGATATAACAGCAGTGCCTCGGAGTACGGAGCATATTTTTACCCATCTCCCCCCAAGTGTGACACATCCAAAAGTTGAGACCAGTGATTGATTTGCATAATGAGAAAACAACTCAAACTTCAGAGAGCGAGAACAAAGGACGAGGTATGAGAATTATGAAAATGATCCAGAACTGATAGAAATAATACTTTGGGATTGAACTGGAAAAAAACATGTGATTATGAGTTATTAATAGTCTCATGTGTGTGCAGTTAGTACATACAAATCATGCGCAAAACACAGAAACAAAAAGAAACATGTCACATTTACACCAATATAAATAGAGTTTTATAAAGCGTGCTGTTTACTATATGTAAAAGGTAACAGTGCCACCCTGTGTCCAAACTCTGAACTGGCATGAACTCACTGACTGCATTCAAGTGTGTGTTTGTGTGTTCTGTACACACGGCAGAGATGAAGAGTGGCTGTGATGTAGGATGAAGAGTCAGCTGACAGTGATCTTGCTGACCTTCACACCAGCGCTCCACCTTCAAAATCATCAAGCAGGTTTATTCCCACTTGAGCCTGAAGATGCTGCCGTCACTCAGGTCCACCAACCTGCAGCTTCTTGACCCTGTGTAACTCCTTGGTAGACATTTTGTCTACATACTGACGGGAAACGGGTGGAAATGTGATCTTATATAATCACTTCATCTCCAGAAAAAATAGGGATTTAAAGCTGGTGTAGACAGTTTTATTTTGATAACATAGCGTATTTTAATTTGAGTGGATTGAGGGAAACTGGCTCTGTTTCCAGGCTTTAGAAAATCTAGACTGTTACAGGAGACTGTGGCCAATCACAGGTCATTTCAGAGAGAAGGTGTTCCTATAAAAATGTAGATGTGTGTGTGCAATCTAGCATTGGCAACACTACACTGCCAAGCAACCCAAAAACAGGGACGGACCTATCAACACAAGAGTCTAAAAGAGAGTCTGGCAAGAAACGAACAAAACGTGTCAATATCGGTGAAGCGTTTCAGAGATGGAGAGAAAATGCTAACGTTAGCGAGAGCCTCGAGCCCAGTGTGTCCTCCACCTCACTCCCCGCAGCTACAGACACGGCTCCATATCGACTTTTCCACTGCTCTCGCTTGGTTGCGTCAGCACATGATTTGGTCGCACCTTTTTTTTTGCTGCAAAAACAACCAGTGTTTCCACCGGTAACGTTCTCTCGTAATAGTAGTTACATGGAGTGAAGGGAGTGAGATGACACTTAAACACAGCGGCAAATGTGACCAGGTTATCACAACCCAGTGAGGATACAAACATTTAAACACCAGACACCAGACTCAACTCCAGGGCAAGCTTTCTAATCCGCCCAAACTCCCCACTGGAACAGCAAACTTTCTGTTGCTGCCTTGACACAGGGGTTTTCACTGGCCAAAGGGTTGCCTTTTCCAGATTTCCCCCTTCCCCAGCTTTAAATTTTAATTTTTTGTTTGTTTGCTAATGATTCCCTCGTTATTCCTTCACACAACACACAACTTCATTTGATTGTTTGATCTGCAAATCATCCGAAGTAACATCAAAGCTGGACGAGATGATTAAAACTAATATTCGCCAATATTTTTCAACCTACACACATGTCCTCATTTTTGTGTTCTGAATATTACACCAGCTGAAGGCCACAACTCCCACACACTTTGTCCAACTCTATCAAATATTGGTACATATATTCCCCCGTGTGTGTGTCCACAAATATGCTGCGTGGAAAGATATGTCTGTTCTTTACTTATTTTGATTATATTTGCAAATCTTTTTGGCTATAGACGATAATGGATGCATATATGGATACAGGTGTGTGTGTTCCTTACATGCTTGCCGTAGTTTGTCCTTGTCATAGTGTAGAGCCTCGTAGTCGGTCATGCTGATCCTGCTGACCCTGATCCTCAGCCTCTCTGGGACTGGCTGCTGACTGTGACACAAACAGGACCAGACAGCTTTTAACACAAGTTGTTATTACAAGGTGTCAGAATGCTGTGCACCGTGGCCACAGGGCTGGAGAAAGCTACTGGCTGAGGTCGTGTTTAACTGTGTGTGACTTACTCATTGAGGTGTGGCAGCGACGTCCGCCGTTTGGTTTTCTGCACCATGTTTGCCTGGTTTCTGAGGCTGATGTGGATGACAGAGGGCGCTAGTCTGCACGGCTCACCGTCCACCTGACAACAATACAGATCAATCACAGAAGCAGGTTATTACCCAAACTGCTTCAGTGTCTGTTTAGCTACATCAACAGTACAAGAATGTGGTTATTACTGGGCAGCTGCTCATTGTGAAGAATCTAGACGATTTGTTCTATAAACATGCTTGGAGTTCATTGTAGCAGTACAGTAAGGTGTGTATGTACAGTCTGTACCTGTACTGGGAGAGGCTTTGTAGTGGTGAGGGTCACTTCTCTGCACTGGTTCAACCTCTCGCCATGACCTCCAACCTGCAGCGTAGCCTACACACACACACACACGTACATTTCACTTCGTAATTGGTCATTACTCCAGCCATGACCCTTGTGGTATGGGATTCTCAGATGCATCATTATGGCTTTTTAACTCATGATGGCAGAGCTGTACTGTCTGTATGTATCGTGACATTTAAGAGTCCGGCATCCTCTTGAATTGGATTGAATACACCTTATTTTGAACATTTTTTTAGCAACGCCAGATCGTTTTGTTTATTCCTCATGAGAACATGTGAGGAATGAACAGGAACTGCTTCCTGTACCTATCATCACAAATAGTACTACACTGTGTATCATGGTTGACACCCCAGGTAAGATTATTTTTATACTCATTTTAATAAAGTGAGACACTCTGCTGGCTGCTGGTCTCCCTGCCCTGGTTACCATGGCTACCACAACACAATGAGCTACATACCAGTGAGGTCATGGTGAATCCAATAACCTCGATGTATCCATCATCATGGCGTTGAGGCTCAAAGTCGTGATGGTCACTGGGGTTTCCCCAAGGTGTAGTGCCGGCACAGTATCTGAGGAACACAGCACACACACACACACACCACATTGTCATGACCATCACTTCTGTCAGAGACATTCAGGTCAAGAAACTGAAAATTTATTTAAAAAAAAAAAAGCTTATATAGTTGGAGTTGATGGTAAATCCACACATGATGAAGATTCTGCAGGAAGCACATTAGAACCCCCGAAACGACAGAGCCACTGCAATCCGAAATCCTGAACCTATGCAACATACATGCTGCAATTCCCTTTGAAGGCTGGCAAAGCCCCTCTCAGCTGAGATACAGCTCAAACAGAATATCTCTCATAAACATGCAGTAAGACACTGATAGAATCCCGATTCAAAGGAACTCCTCTGAACTAAATGTGCCTCGCCTATGTGACACAGCTGCAGGTTGATTCGTGTCACCAATTCAGTATCTGACCAAATGTCTTCACTTGTGTTTTTGAGTTATGACCTTTAATAATGACCAGGAAAGTGTTTTTGCCAAACTCTTTGATGTCACAGTGATGTTGACCTTCAAGCTTTTGGACATAATATCTCACCACTTCATTATTACATCCTATTAGACATTTGTGTGAAATTCGGACTCCATGTTTTAATCAGTCTATCATGGAGTCCAGATGGATGTTTGTGCCAAACTTGAGGAAATTCCCTCAAGGCATTGTTGAGATATTGTGTTCAAGAGAATGAGAAGGATGCAAGGTCTCAGTGACCTTAACCTTTAACAAATACAAATCAGTTCATCGCTGAGTCAAGGGAGATGTTTGTGCCAAATTTGAAAAAGTTCTCTAAAGGTGTTCTTGCGATATCATGTTCCTGAGAGCGGAACGGACAGATACCAATATCACAATGCCACCAGACATAGCTGTTGCCGATGCAACCCATAAAAAACACATTATCCCTTAATCTGTATTATTAAAGTTAGGCTAATATTTAAAATAATCAAAATTATTTTCCAAGGGTTTCCTCCGCATGTTTGTGTGTACAGAAGACTAGGGCCAAAAAAACGTCATTGTAACATCCTAAATTTTGGGGTTCATGTATAACAAAGTTGATATGACTCTAGAATGTGTGTCTTCCAACTCTGCGAGAAGTTTTGTGGTTATTAACTTCTGTTTTAGTACGCAACTACGACGAAGTGTGAGTGTTGTTTATTAAAGTTTAACTTATTTTTACTCTGATGTCTTGAGCCCTGGTCAAACTTTCTGGTGGACTGTCTGAATGGATTGTAAGACACTCGTATTTAATGTCTAAAGTCAGGCTGCGCTTCTTTAGAAAAAATCTGAACACTAGAATAGATACTAACTGAAAGAAGTCAAAGGGCCCTATTTAGATGGTCTAAAACACAAAGCGCCAGGCGTGCGGTGCATGGGTGTGTCCCAGTCAGTCCCAGTAAAAGGGTTGGACTTACTCTGTGAATTAGTCATGGATGTGTTTTGGGCGTATCATTCAATAAGCCAATCAGAGTGTCACCTCTCATTCCCTCTAAAAGAGGCGTGATTGGAGCGCATGGCGGAGAGCTAGTTAGATGGCGGACCTACCAACTGGAAAGAGTGAGCGTTTTACAGCTGAGGAGATGGATCTCCTCGTGNGGAGAGCTAGTTAGATGGCGGACCTACCAACTGGAAAGAGTGAGCGTTTTACAGCTGAGGAGATGGATCTCCTCGTGTGGGAGTTGAAGGCCTGTCAGAACCAGATCTACGGGGACAGCAGACAGGCACCCAAGCTTCCCGAGGTAAAGCAGTCGTGGGTTCACTAATACAAGAAAGATCTTACTAAATATCTGTGGAATATTATTCAAACTTGTTTTCATCATGTAACAGAGCACAGCTATCAGGACTGCCGCGGAGCTCCCCAAGGTGCTGATCCTGCAGCTAGGACCTGTTCAGCGTTTTCTCCCCCACCCACGTTTGTTAATTGTTTTCACATGTTTCCTAGAGCTGTGTTCTGCCTCTTATTTGCATGTGTGTCCTCTCTACACTCAGATAACGATATAGTAATATAATGTAATGTAGCCTAATATAACATGTTAAAATAAATGCAATGTGTGGGCTTTGGTTTTCAATCAAAAAAATGATTGATTGGTCAGATAATTTCACAATTTCATTTGTCATTATTACAAATTATGATGATCATTACTACTGCGATTAGATCATTCTGATTAATGACTTACCATTAAGACGTGTTTCTGATAAATATTTTAATGTGCACAATAATAAGTTTTCACATTGTAATCATATTTTTTTTTGTTATCTTTTGCATATGTGTGGCTGCTCCATGTGTGTCTGAGCAGAGTGCACACGCGTTGTGCACCCGCCTAGAGATGCATAACTTGTATAACAGCGAAATACTGCGCCGTTGACGTTAGACCAGGTTTTTGTTGGTCACTGGAGCATTTGCTTTTTACGTCATCTAACTAGCAACGCGCCATGACTGCGCCTGACCACTCCTCATTTTTAGACCAACACACCCAGAGAAGCGCAAGGTCATTTGTTAGTTAGACAACGAGGGCGCAAGGTGTGAAAATGACAACTGCGCCTGCATCTAAATAGCAATGACACTTGCGACATGGATTATGCGCCCTCCGCTGTCCGCTTTAGACCATCTAAATAGGGCCCAAAGTCAACCAATGAACACAAAGTTCAGTACAAGTACAAAGGTCTATTAGCTGTAAACATAATAAAGTAGTATCAGTAACAGTAGTTGTGTTAGTTATATTACCTGGGGATGTTGAGAAAGACCAGACATTGCAGCTTCAAGTCCTGAACCTTTGATGTTAAATCTGTCCCGTCACACTGGAGAAAGACGAAGAGAGACTTGAGTTTTAATCTCCTTCATTTAAACTAGTTACCTAGTAAGGGCGCTGAAGCGCACGCAACCCCCAGAACCCCTTCATCCAACCTTTGCATGAAATCTGCGAGAGAACCAGACCTTTGCTAACAAGGGATCTATGGTCAAAAAAGTCCCATCCCAGTTCCTACTGACCCAGCCCTCCAAGCCTAGGTACATACCGAACACCTCCAGCCCCTCTCTGCTCCACTTTAGTCCTCCCAGTAGCTGTGGTACCTCCAACTCCTTCCAAACCCCACACAACAAACCCCCACTGTTACTCAAGTTTACTTTTGCTGATGACACCCTTTGATAAATCTGAAATGGACCCACCACTGCCTGAAGGTCCTGTTCATATTAACCAGCACTGACACATCATGCCTTAAAATCCAACTCCGGTCACACCCCACCTTAGGCCTTCCTATGTAACAAGGCTAACAGAGGCTCAGTGGCAAGAGCACATACTTGCACCGACAATGGAAAGTCTTGCTGAATCCTTCTTCCCCAAAGACACTGGTCTACATAGTTCCCCAGAGACCTGAACCAGACATGAGGCCCTGGCAGAGAGTTTCTTGAACCCAGCAATGAACCGCTCCCTGAACCCAAATGCATGTAAAGCCTTAAAGATGTCTTCAAGGCCTTGTCCTGATCCAAAATAAGGAGCCCAAAGATGATGCTAAAAGATGCTGTCATAAGTTGTCATACATTGAACGACCTGGTACACAGGAAGCCTGGTTACAAAGTAGAATTGTCTCTAGGTGTCTCCTCAACTGATCTACAAGGCTCTTGGAAAAATAAAATCAACACAAATCATTTAGATCCCCTTTCTTTGGCTGCAGTGTCAAGACTTTTCTGCATCAAGTAGCAGCCACCCTACATAAAGGCACTCACGCATCGCCTCATACCAGTCTGGGTCCAGTACTGACCAGAAGCTTTTATAAAAATCTGCTGGCAGCCCTTTCACCCCTGGATAACATCAATCTGCACAGCCACCTTGGAGCACTTTCTCTTGGAGAACGGGCTTTGGGTTTTTTGTTCCTCAAGTTGTTCTTTGACTGCTTGTACCCTCCAAGATTTGTATTGCTTTTGATGCTCCTATTGGTACCATGACTAATGATGTGGGTTCCCCTGCAGCAAACCCAAAGTCTACCTCATCTGCAACATCAGTGTGTTTCTTACAAATAAATAACACTAAAACTAGAGTGCAGAATAATTTTGCGTATAAATGGACGAATTCGCGGAATGCTGATTAAGCTTATCAACACCAAGGAAAGCTTGGTATATCGGAATGCTAGTGTTAGGAGTTTGTTGCAACTTAACAGTCTGAAATAAAGATTTTTTTTTTTAAAAAAAGACAGGCCGGGATAGACCATGGTGATGGAGCAGCAACTAGGAGTATGGTGGAAGCAATGGCTGAATATCCTGGGAAGTATCCAACAGAAGTTTCTGGAGTGGATGCTCTAGATGTCTCCCCTTCTGTTCATAAGAAGGTATGTTGAGTAGTGGTCAGAAACGTGTTTTTGCCTAGCATTATGATGTCACAGTAAAGCTGAACATTAACCTTTTGGATATGTAACATCATTATATCCTATTAGACGTTTGTGTGAAATTTTGTCATAGATAGGCAATGAATTCTTGTGATATGGCCAAAAACATGATTTGTGAGGTCACAAGAATAAGATGGATGCAAGGTCACAATGAAACTGACCTTTGACCACCAAATTCTCATCAGTTCATTGTTGAGTCCAAGTGGATGTTTGTGCCAAATTCAAAAGGATTTACTCAAGGAGTTCTTGAGATACCGCGTTCAAGAAAATGCGACAGACGAGGTCATAGTCACCTTGACCTTTTGTCTATGATCGTGTTAGTCAAGTAAATGTTTGTGCCAAATTTGAAGAAATCACTCAAGGTGTTTTTGACATATCACATTCATGAGAATAGGACAGATGCAAGGTCACTCTGGCCTTGACTTTGACCACAAAAGTCTACTCAGTTTATTGCTGAACCCAAGTGGACGTTTGTGCCAAATTTGAAGAAACTGCTCAAGGTGTTCTTCGGATATCGTGTTCATGAGAATGGGACAGACGGTCAGACAGTACAGAGGCATGAAAAGACTTGAAGAGAGCACGCCCGAGGGGAGATGCAGCAGGCTCACCTTAAGGCAGACAGTATACGCATGCATCAACAGTGTTTGTGTAATTACTCTCACTGCCAGAGGGGGGGAGACAAAAATTCTGCACTCCAGCTTTAACATTTTCCTCTTTTACATAATCCACTAACACTAACATGTTTTTTTCCTGCTCTCTGCTGTCATTTATATTAAGTGACCCAATTCTTAAATCCTCCGTAAGACAAGAGAAGAAGAAAAACAGAGAAAGAGAGACAACCGCAAGCCCAACAGGCCACTGTTAAACTCCAGGCACACTCAATATGAGAGAGAGATAGGCAGATAGAGGGAGACAGAGAGTGAGACAGACTCTGTATTGTATACAAATGACTGACTGCTTGATTGACAGCTACTCACCACCACTTTGATGTGCTTAGACAGGTCTTTGGAGCTTCCCATCAGGAAATCTGAGAACGCTGTCTGTATGAGAGACACAGACGGACAGACAGAGAGACAGACAGACAGGTAAGCAGGATTGTCTCCGAGGAGCTCACTGTGCAACCCACAACAAGATGGAGCTACCTCCTGCTGCCCCCGGCAGTCAGAGAAAGTGTTCAGTCCTCATCACTGCAAAGTTGTTTTCTCTCACCACACTTCAACACAGCAGCCTGACCTGAGTAACCTCATGTTCGCCACATAAAAGGACCTGAGGGCCAACATCAGATGTTTATGACAAACTATATTACTTCAAAGAACAACAGAAGGCCCAGGAACATTTCAGCTGTTATGACCAACCATATTAACAGTTGATGCATATTTTAAGCCAAATGAATCGTTACAAATGTCTTTAATAGTTTCTGTGATCAAAACTGATTAAACTGCTTGTTCATCAACATGCTCATTGTCTAATTCCTCCCAAGAAAAATATCTGTGACGGCTTTTCAGACATAAATTTTCCATAGATTTCAGTAATCTGGCATTGTCATAAGGCTGCTATGTGCATGTGCTTGGCCCAGCACGCTGTCACCAAAAAATGACCACTGTGAAAGCAGCTTATTTGACCCATGCTTACATTTATTGTAAGGCAGCACCCTCTAGTGGCCGTAGTAACTGTTACTGGAGCAGAAGAGGAAGTGGCATAAAAAGCATAGGCATAAAAGCACCACTCGTCGCATTGTTGTATAACAAATATTGAAGAAACCGCCACAGGGTGGGTAGTTAGAGGTGGACTGGTCAAAAAAACACAGGACTTCCACCCAGGAGAGTGTCATTTCCTATAGATTCTTTACAATACAAGTCCCACGTTATTTTGCTTTGTAAAAACTTTACACGAAACAGTGAGATAAAGCAGATATCTAAAGTAAAAACAGGACGCAGGAGAGAAACTCCAAACCACAGAGATTCGGTTAGAAGCTACAAAAGTACTGAGAGCCGAACACACAGAGACTTTTAAAAACGCCTTTCTCTCTGGTCTCCTGCAGACAGAGGTGAAGAAAGTCTTGCAATACACAGGGCTTGTTTAAGGGGAAGAAGTGGGGTCTGCTGTGGTCGCTTGAGGGCGGGTGGCCCGGCTTTTGAACCTACTCTGGAGAAGGTCCATGTCTGGTGAAGCGTGTCTAAACCGATAATAGAAACACAAATTGGCGCAGCATGGCTTGAGTTGACGTGGCTGCAAGTGACAGCGGAAAAGACCCATGTAGGTGGGGCATGGATTACCAGAGGGAAATAGGGAGTAAAACAAAGTTGAATGAATATGATTCTCAACTCACCAACTCAGACTCCCAAAAACCGTTTAAGCTAAGCACTACAATAGAGGAACATTTTTCATTTTAGTGACAGTGATGAACATATTGATGAAATTATTTAATTTGGCAAGCACTTGAAATACTGGGAGTGGATGACAATTATTCGCAGAGCAAATGAAGCGTCCTGCTGCTCAGGGTAAAATAATGATAATTGCTCTTAGTGTTTGAGAACTGCAACAGTGTTTCTGAAAACAGGTTGAAAAAAAAAACAGACAAAATAGTGTCTTAAAGTGTGCAAATAATAAAATAATATAGAACAAAGACAACAACTAATCCCTCTGTGTAAATGGACACAGCACAGCTGGTGGCCGCTCCCAGTGAACAGTGACTAACATTTGCATTCATTACTGAAACTCCTTCTCTGCTGCATGTGCCGGCCTCCTGCTGCGATGCTTTGTGACCTCGAGACATTTAATAACGTAACTACCAACAACAAAATCTGCCCACACACTCAAATATTTCACCTAAACGTCTCTTCCGAACATATTACATTATCTGGTCTTGAACACAACATTAAATGAAGACTGAACAGTATAGAAACATTAACACACTGATGTTAAACATGGACGTGCACTCACCCCAGCGTAGAACATCTTATTCCTAAAACGACTGTTAAACTTCTCTGGGTTGGCCTCTGAAACAGTGACACACAGAGACAGGAAATCAACACAAGATTTTACATATATGGAGCAAATTTAATGGCAAAGCAAAGTGTTCATAAATTACTAATGTTGCAGTGCACATTAATATTGATGTGAGCTTCTTACACAGTATATTGTGTGATAACACTTGTCATTGTTCTGTGTATTAATATGAATGTACCTCTTGACTCGTGGAACTCTAGAGTCACATGGGCGTCAAATCCAAGACTGAAGTAATTGTTGAAAACATCTAGAGGAAGCTGAGAGAGCATATGCACAAACATGAATCCACAACAGTCACGTTCGAGGCAGTGGTAGACCAGCGTTACTCTTTTAACAATTGGTCTATCTCTGTTTTATTGGACGTAAAGTGACGGTCTCGCTCAATACTGGACCCATTTCACGGTGGCTAAACTTGCATCGGCACTTCACACCATTGTCCTTTTTCCAGCCTCGCCACACCTGAAATGAAATGCACTTTTGACATCTCGACACCTTTCTTCACCACTGATGCAAAGAGTGTTGCCGTGTCTCGTGTGTGATGAAGAATAGATGAGGAAAGACTCGTTGTTGAGGTCAAGAAATGTCCCAAGCTAAAGGACCCACAATCCCGTCATCACAAAGACAATGGCCAAAAAGATACTTCCCAGTGAGTTTCAGAATCCAGCTCAGAGTATCTGGATATGATACGTTAATTTGCTAGTGTGTGTATGTGCACTGACCTTATCAGTCTGTTGTTCGTCCAGTTCAGCCCCTGCACTTTGGTTTGGTTCAACCTGTAGGTTCCATCTGTCTAGCTGGACGACAGCTCCATCCTCAACATGGGACAGGATCTTGGACAGAGGTTCGTCTGTATAGCCCTGGAAACAGATTTTAACTTTGAGGTGACGAAATCACTTCAGGAAAAAAGTGCTGAAACAGATGGTATTCCATTTTGAGGAAACTCTGCTGAGATTATATAGACGTGTGAACCATCTGTATGTTAGTTTGGACTTAATCCAAGCTCACACACAGATTAGTGACAAATGAAAGGAAGAAACTGAGCAAACGCAGACACTTCAGTACAGCATATGAGGGCTCACTGAATATTGAACTAGGAATGAGCCAGCAGTTGCTCAGATTGCCAACAGCATGTAATTGAACTATCTGTATTTACCCACACAGTTTAGATGTACAAATGTGTTTGTCAGTGTTTGTGCTCACCCCTCCCCAGTTAAGGGTCCTGGCAAGGTCATTTCCTGTCCCAAGTGGTAACACGGCAACCGGAGGTTGAGGGTTTAATGCAAGTTCATCGAGACAGGACAGGATCCAGCCCACCTGGTTTCACACAGACATGCAGTTACAGAGACAAGGATGTGTGCCTCCAACCAACCATCCATCCATCACTCTTGAACAGGAAGTTTTGGTATCCCTCAGAAAAGACGCCTCAGCTGGATACCCAATTCACATTTGCGGTGCTCCTCAGGGTTTGATTCTTGGTCATCTTCTGTTTTTCAATTCTACATTACCACTGGCTCATATTATCAGATAACATCATACATTTTTATGCTGATGACATAACCATACACTACTCCTTATATCCAGACAATATTAGTGGAATATCTTTTTTTAAAATCAGAGTTTGCATGTGTGTGTTCCTCACCGTGCCGTCTCCTCCACAGGCCAGGATCCTCAGGTTATGGACTTTACGATACAGCTCCAAGCTACAAGATTAACTCTGATTATTGATTGATCTAGCCAAACAAGTCCGACAGCTTCAGTAGATGTTCACTGTTGATAGTGTGTGTTTTAGAGAGACCTACCCTTCCTTTGGTCCTCCCTGGCTCAGGTCAAACACCTGTCTGGGGTTCAGATACCACATGAAGGACTGCAGGATCTTGGTGCCCTGTTAGAAAGAGAAACCAATGGAGATAGATAGATAGTAAGACACTGACTAAACTGGATGACATGTCGATGGTTTACCAACTAATTCACTTGATTGAGCCACTTGTTGGGCTGACTGTGTTGCTCATGAATACCTGGTTTCCTCCACTCTTGGGGTTGACAAACACCAGCAGTGGTTTCATCAATGGTGAAGGAATGGGTCTGATTATAAATGGCTTCCACTGCCGTCCTTCCTGTCAAAGAAGAAGAAGATGAACTACTCAGATCCTCCATAACAGATTTGTCCAAGACGGCACTTATCTAAGGCTGGTGTTCCTAAACATTTAAGACATATTCGGTAGCTCTCTGAAGACTTTATTTGACAAAAACAAACACAAATTTACCACAAATCATGTCCCTAAGACATACCTTAAATCTGGTTCTATCCTTAAATGGTATGTTTTAACCTGGACCCTATTTTCCTATTGTCAAACCCACCAGACTGCATTTAGAAAAAGAGCAATTCTAGTGTGTATAGAGCCAACATATTTTCACATGTAACTGGGTGAATTAAGGGTTTATTTCAACCAGAATAGAAAGACGAACCAAGATGGCTTTTGTGAGTTTGGGTCTGGTGGGTTTGCTGATACGGATTTCGGGGCTGTTTCTGGTTAAACAAAAAGGATCTTACTCTTTAGCAAAAAGGTCTATGTCTATAGGGATCCTTTCCGGAGATGGCACAGACAGAAATACAGTGATAGATTTTTCATCTGCAAGCTAAGAACTGACCTCTGCTCCTTTCTTGCTGCTTTTCCTCTTGAATGATGTTCTCTTCTTCTTCTTACTCGACTTCATAGATGACTGTGAGAGACACAAACCAGAGTCAGACCAACGCAGGTTGATCTCACGGAGAGCAGAAAGGAAGATATGAAGCAGCTTGTTCTCATAATGAAGGAAAGGCTGGTTTCCTTCATGAGTCATAAGGGATGACAAAGTGTATCCTATATGAAAATACTGGAAGAGTGAACTCTTAACATACAAATACCATATACTCAGGAAAAGCCTTCGAACACCCTTGAGCTGTTATATCGGTAAAAACAGACAAAGCATTCAATAGAATAGAGTGGTTGTAATCTGTTTGCTGCTCCTTAAAATTTTGCTTCAGTGAACGTTTCACCTCATGGATCCATCTTCTGTGTACTAACCGCAGGGTAAGTGTCTGCACTAATGATACGCTACAGTATCTGATCATTTTGCACCGTCTCTCGGGACTCGTCAAAGTTGCCCTCAATGTCACCTTTTATTTGCAGTAACCCTGTTCCTCCCTTTTATTCCGTGGAGCTTTCCGGGAGGGTATAGATTTTCAGGTATCTCTTTACACAGATCTCTGGTTACAAGCTGAATCTTAAGAAAATAAATCGTTTTCCCATCAATATAACTGCAACGCAGCTGCAGCAGTCAAACCTGCCTTTCTACATAAGCACAATCAGGGTTCAGATATCTTGGGGTTAGCATTTCTTGCAACCTTCTCAAACAGAGTCAGACTGTCAGACATGGAATAACCTCCATTTGACTCTAACTGCAGAATTAGTGTCGTAAAATGGACTATTTTACCGAAGTTAAATGGCTATTTGAGCTCATGTATGTTCTGACACTTACTTGTTTTATTATTTTTGGTGTAGAGTCATAGATTGTTCGGAGTGGGCAGGTGGTGATTGAATAAAATTGCTTTAGGAAAAAAAAAAGATTGACAATAGTGACCTGATGGCGTCGGACTCGGATGATCCATGTGGGCGGAACTATAAGGGCACCGTGAGCTCCTATTGGACAAGCCTCTTCAATTTGCTGCAGCATGAAGCAGGACACCTTGTTGTGATACTAAAGAGGGAAATACAGCAATATTAGACATGTATTTATTGAGCACTGTATAATATAACGCTGTACAAAAGATGTCAGCTTAAATTAAGTCTAATGTCTGTCTTGTTCCAGCATGTAACTCCATTTCCAGACATACTCACAGCCTGCTTGCACCAGGAGCAGCTGATGGCCACGATCTCCTTACTGTGGAAAGTAAACTTCTGCTGAAAGCCCTGCACAGAACAACAGGAGCAGAAATTATAGGTGTAGACATAGCTGTAGCTGTTGCTATCAGGGTTGGAAATTAACTTTTTTATCCACCTACAACTGTGGCTAGTGGATTCTAAGATCTACCAGCCACTCAATTAGGGATTAACATTGTTTTTTTTGGTTGGTGGGTAAAGCAGATCTAGCAACCACTTATATATTTTACCACCATTTGGCTGGTCACTGGTGCTAATTTCCAACCGTGGTTTGGTTGTGGTAAAAATTCAGTTTTTCGGTAAGTACATTTTGTTTTGATGGTTTTAAGTCTGTTTTATGCTAGCAAAAATTAGCATAAGCATTATCACAGTTAACCATAAATGCTAACCAAGATAGCAGCAAGAGTTCGGCTAAGAAGCTACTTCACTTCTGTCTCCAAAAATCCAAGATGGCACCACCTAAAATCCCAAACTCAAGGTTTCAAAGGGAGTCCACAAACCAGTGGGTGACGTAATGGTGGCTACATCCATTATTTTACAAATTAAATGTACATGAGGAGCTTTTAGGATTAGTTTTTAAGATTTAAATGGTTCTAATTAATTATTGGTCAATAGAACAATACTACTGAAATTACCACTCACCTTCCCACATTGTTTACATTTTCCTTCTTGCCGCCTTCGATGCACCCAGTGATGACGCACTACGATGGGCTGAACACACAAAATACACGAATCGTCATTTTCCGAACCTAAATTAAATAGCCAGAAAGAGAGGAGAAAGACATTTCCAGAACTCACCTCTCGGATGTTCCTCGAGCCTGATTCTCTGAAAGATGGTTTACACCTAAAGTTAATCTGGAGGAGAGCAGAGGGAAAAAAGATAGAAAGAGAAGTAGAAACATAGATGACGATTAGGCTCTGCTGCACAATCTAAACTGGGTACTGTTAGAGGTTTTAGGAGAAAGCACGGAGCTCCAGAACAGACAGCTGCAGAGTCTTGATTGGAATGGTTTCCAGTGATCACGTTGGCAGGTTAAACATGTTTTAGGAGGAGGAAACAGTTTCACCAAAGAGGTTTAGACGTGTGACTTTGTAGCGGTGAAAGTGGGGAGGAACCATTATTCCCCCGTAGTGAAGTGGTGCACAGAAGAAAAGGAAAAACCAGGGACACCCTGACCAGAGAAGGGACACCACAGGATACTGCGGTTGCCAGGTGGAACTCTTTTAGGTCAACCAAACTGTTTGTGGTGAAGGGGTATGGAACAGGTCATGGTATCCTGACGAACTGTTCTGGTTCATTAACACTTCTGCTTGTTCCTACGAATCACAACTCAGCCTTGCATAAGGATCAACTGGTCCAATTAGAAGTTGAATTTGTTTTGGTTGACTTCTTAAGTCAAGTCCAAGTCAGACCCATTAATGACCATATAATAGTGGACCAGCTTTTCACCCTTGGAGGGGTCATGGGAGTTTGCCCATCCAGTCTACATTAGTTTTGTGGACTTTGACAAGCTTATGACCACGTCCAATGGGAAGTCATCTGGGCGGTACCAGGGCCATTGCTACAAGCTATCCGGTTCTTGTATAACCAAAGTGAGAGCTGTTTCCATGAACTCGGCACAAAGTCAAACACATTTTCAGTGGAAGTTGGCCTCCGCCAGGGTTGTCCCTTGTTGGGAATTCTGTTTGTGAAATTCATGGACAGGAAAAGATGTGTTCATGGCATGTTAAGTACTTTCTGCTAACAATTCCTTCAATGCAATGTGTCATATTTTATGGATGTGATAATTACAGATGATTCATAAATAAAATTCGACTAATGAAGGAGTGAAGAAGAGATTTCTAACTCGGTCAGGAGTTGCAATCTCTCCCATATACGACCACATGTAGTCATGTGACTGGTGTTCCATTCCCCATACTAATGGCAAACTCTATTTGATGATAAAGAGTGTCTCAGTGACAAGTCCTGATCCCTCTTTGCTGTTACCTCCACCCCTGCTGTTTCAGAAAATGGCTTTAGTATCATATCAGTTCGGAATCAACAAGGCCAACCCTTTAAACCTGTCTGATTTATCATACCAGAAGGAAATGAGATGAAGAGACGGAAGATTCTTTGGGATTTAAGGGCAAGAAAATGACCCCTCCATGGTGCAAGAACAAAAGTGGAAGTTTGCAAAGGGTGTGTGTCTGACCTGGATTAGATACCAATGCAGTTCACTCAATTAAAGGTCCAGTGTGTAGGATTTAGGGGGATATATCGGCAGAAATGGAATTTATTAAAATAAGCATGTTTTCTTCAGTGTATAATCATCTGAAACTAAGAATTTTCATATTTTCGTTGGGTCCTCATCTATGGAGATTGCCATATTGTGCCACGATGTTTCTACAGTAGCCCAGAATAGGAAGGGGCCATTCACATTTCAGCGTCATCCACCTTAGTTAGAAGCTCCTCCATGACAAGCACCATCAGGAAAACACAATGTTTTTTAATGTAAAAATGTTTTATTCAGTGTGTTTTCCAATTTAAATCCCCAGGTCTGTTTATTTTGTTGAGAAAGAAACCTCAAATAATTTGGCTCCAAGTAAAAACCTCCTGAACGTCTGGATCAGAAAAACAATAAGCACAGATAAAAGATACGTCAGATAAAAGCCTTTTTTGAGAACATTATGATGTCACAGTGAAGTTGACCTTTGACCTTTTGGATATATAGTGTCATCACTTTACAATTTGATCCTATTAGACATTTGTGCAAAATTCTGTCATAAGTAGTGTATGAATTCTTGAGTTAAGGCCAAAAACAGGTTTCATGAGGTCACAGTGACCTTGACCTTTGACCATCGACCACTGAATTATAATCTGTTCATTCTTAACATTAAGGGAAATTCCCTCAAGTTTTTGTTGCACTATTGCGTTCACAAGAATGAAACTGATGCAAGCTCACAGTGACTTTGACCAACAAAATCTAATCAGTTCATCAATGAGTCCAGGTGGACGTTATTGCTTAATTTGGGGAAATTCCCTCAAGGCTTCCTTTTGATATCACATTCACCAGAACAAGACAGATGCAAGGTCACAGCGACCTTGACCTTTGACCACAGAAAATCAAATCAGTTTATTGCTGCGTCCAAGTGGACAGTTGCCCAAATTTTGAAGAAATTACCTAAAGGTGTTCTTTGAGATATCCGTGGCCACAGTGACCTTGACTTAGGAGCACCAAAATGAGATGTTTTTACGGTTTTAATCTCCTGGTCTGGTTGTTTTGGAGAGGAAGAGACCTCTATGAATAATTCAGCTCCTGGTAAAAACCTCCTGAACAATGAACACTGACGAACTTCTAACTGGTAGAAGTTTCATCTGGTTGTGTAATCCTCACCACTAGAGGCCACTACATCCCCCTAAATTTTACACCCTGGACCTTTAAATTGGATGACACACAAACCTGCTTGCCTTTAGAGAATGCATGCTCTATCTGTGTTTGCTATGTACTGTAGAGATTTTATTTGAGAGGCCGCCCCCCATGCATTTGCCCCCACCTACAAAGATTCTCCAAATAAATTCTCATCCCGAGGGAAACACTGATGTGCACTGGTTTCTTTCTGAATAACTAGTGAGGTCCAGACACCACCTTAGGCCTGTGTGTTTCTGTCAGATTGAGGGTCACAGACGAGGAGAGAAGAGAGACAGAAGGAGTTTTGTGTATCTCACTCTAAAGTTGGGGTCATTGAGGGGCAGGGTGGCATCCAACAGAATGGCTCTAGAGCTGGAAAACTGAAAGTTAGACAGGGGGAACAGTTAAAGACAAGCTGCCTGCACTGTGCTGTCCTCTGCGTCAATGAAAATGAATAAAATTAAACAGATAAGCTAACCTATAATTGAAATAAATAGAGTAGCTATCAGCTGGAAAGCAGCTATCTTTGGATCCAATTTTAGATTGAGGGTTTAAAGTAATCCTTCTTTTTTACTTCCCTCTGATCTTGAGGACAGAAAGTTTAATCCGTCTTTATTCTTGCCTCTATCACCTTTTGTCCCTTGTGAAAGATGGTTTAAACATCCATCTCTAATCTCCTCTCCACCTTTATCTGTGTGTCAGGAGTGAAGTCTTACACCTGCGTCTTTATCTTTCTCGTCTCCATAAGGTAAATTAAAAAGGTGAACTCTTAGATAGCCTGAATCCGTCTGGCAGAAGTGTGTGAGTACATGAGAAATTACCTTCTCCAGTTGTTCTATACAGATGGTGTGGGCGACTATCTTACAGGCGGCACACTTCTTTCGGCTGAAAGACTTTTGCTGGAAGGAGAGGGAGGACGTGATTAGTTGTGTCAAATATGAAAAACAATAGACAAAGAATCACAGGAGCAAAATTGATAGCAGTAATTTAGTCATTTGTTTCATGATCCTCAGCAGCTTGTGAGGCGGTAATACCATCTGTGACCACTTGGTGTCAGCACTGTGCTGCTAACTGACACCACATACATAGATACATCCCACATGTGTGTGTGTGATATGACAAGGCTTGCCATGTGACTTTAATATGAGCTGACATGAGTGAAACTATGACATGATACGACCGTGTTTGATGACACTGAGTGACTGTCGTGGTGCTGAAAATGAATCAGTGCAGCGTCAGTGTGCATGAGGTGTTATTTCATAACAAAGATCACACCATCGGACCTACTCAAAAAACTGATGCCCGTCTGTCAGACCTGGTGTTGTTATGTTTGATGCATCTCTGCCTTTCTCATCTTCCTGCACGTTGCTCTCGCTACATTAACTCTTCCACTGCCAATAACTTCAGCGAGGCTTTCATGGCTGCCCCTGACACCTGCACCATTGAGGCCCCTTCTCCCTATCTCAGCACCAAAGAACTCACTTCCTTATTTAACACCACCTGTTCCTCAAATCTGGGCACTGTCGCTCCCCTCAAACTGAAGAAGCCTGAGCTTGATGACACCACTAGGGCCCTTCAGAGGGACGGCAGAGAGTCAGAACGAAAGTGGAAGTGCGACAAGCTTCAGGTTTCCTTTGAAATTTTAAAAAACAATCTTCTAAATGATCAGGAATCAGTTCAGGCTGCGAGAATAAAATACTCAAATTGAGGTCACTTTCAAGGATCGCCCAACTGGACTGTGATCGGTTTGATTCTTTGAGATTTAGTGCCGAAGCATGCGACAACAAACAAGTTGGAGGACTTCCTTTCAGGTGTCTCATTGACGCATGTAAGCACTGTCCAAATGTGACTCAAACAAAGACGAGTGATTTCAAAACAGGAAGGACATATGACCAATGGGATTTCTGTAACTGTAACACAACTGTTGTTGTATATCATCTAACATGCCAACGTTTGCTTGAGTCCTGTCCATGCTTTTGCACCCTGAAGAAACCGGTCGGTGTTTTAATGTAAGGCTTTTTAACTTAACTCAAGTGCGTTTGTTCCTGCTCCACGCAGGAAGGCCTGAAATTCATTGTTCCTTCCGATGTGCCGACCCTTTTCTTCAAGAGCACCTACGTTTTCTTTTTGAGTTTAATATAAAGATGATCCTCGAGTACACCACCACCTCGTTCTCAATTTAACTCTTTCAGCTGACACAGCATGAACTGTGTCTCCTCGTTCATCTAGAAACGCACAGCTCTGGATGTAGATTTCACTATGTTCATATTGGCTGCTTGTTCTGTTGGGTATTTAATGCTGTTTGATTCTGGGTCAAAGCCCAGGACGGAAACTGTGGAGCGCCTCGGCCAGTTTGGGTCTGATTGACTGTATAGATGCAGAGTAATTCGACTCCCAGTCACATTATCTGTGTGTGTTAGTCCGACTTTGACAAATTCAATTTAGTACGATTCCAGTTTACATATATTTTAAAAGTCCGATTTTAGTTGGACTAACAAAATAAATCCAATAAAACCAAGAAAGAAAACGAGTGATGAAGCGAGGACCCTGGACACAAACAACATCAACCCCTTTGTGAACGCCAGCCACAGCATCCACTGGGAAGAGGTCAAAGGTCACGGAGCAGTGGATGTATGATCTGACTCCAGAGAGCATCTGTAAACAGCTGCGGGGGCTACACCATCTCCCCCTCGTGTACGATGTTCACATGTCGCCTGAGCCTTCGACGCAGGCAAAATGAAGCCTGCGAGAGACGTGGATGAAAGCTAAGAATAAAACAGTAAGTGGACGATGAGATGTTGCTGCTGTGGATGAAAGGGATGTTTTAACGAGCGCTCCAGATGTTTAGTTGGTGCAGATATTGGAGGAATGTCTAAGAACATTTAGCAGCTTTATATGTGTAAACATGTGGGATGCAAATATGCAGTCGTATAAACACTGGGTCTGATATGTTGGAGAAAAACAGAGTGATGCTCGGCCCTAACACTGCTGCGTATGAATGGAGCTTGAAGAAAATAGTGCTGTAGAGAAGACAGGCAGGGAGGAGAGATAATCCGAGTCGGATACCAACCTGTGCTCTGGCAATACAGTGCTGTTCTCCCACATAACAGTAGTCTCCTGACACATTTGTCTCATACCAGATATGATCTCCGTACACAGCCGTCTCCTACAAAGAGAAACACAGAGACAGAGGAGGACAGAAAGTTTTCTAGGCGTAGCGTGAAAGCGTGACATCTCGGTGAGACGCATGACAAGGTGCAGAACACTGTAGACGAAATCAAGACCAAATCAGTGGTGACTTAGCGGGTCATTGCTGCCCACTTTGTTGTTTTCTCAGTGCGATAGTGGTACAAGAAGTGGTTGTGTTTTACCTAAACATTTCCGCTTTTGCAAAGGGGATTGCGCCATGATCTTTTCCGAACAAAAACTAAGTGGTTTTTCTTTCTTAACCTAACCCCGCTGCATAACATGCAATGTGTGGTTTGCAGAAACGTATGACGCCAACATTTCCCTGGCGACTCGGTTGTGTATGAATGAGGTAAAGGGTTTTTCCCCAGACCCTGATACCCAGACTCACAGTCCAGTCCACGGTGCTGCGGATATTTGCCTCCGGGTCAGTCCTGGTCAGGGATGATGTGCCAGGTTGACAGGGTAGATGGTGCAGGCCAGACTTGGCAATCGCTTTCCTGGAAACACAAAGAGACAGGAAAGTGTGAACACTCCTGTTCTCTTTTCGACAATAAAATTCAAAGGACTTTTTTATAGAAAGTCTCCCAAAATTACACAGATTAAAAACTTTCTTTCAAGAAAAAAACAATTTCTTGATTGTCGAACACAGTCAAGAAAAAAAGAACACCTAGTGAATTATGGTCCGCTTGTGTGAAGCTTCGTCGTGCCTTGGATGTTCTCAAATGTCAGTAGATTCAAATTCAAGAGACACTAATGAAAAATGAACGATTAAAATTCATATTCTGGGGTGTGTAGCACTTCATACCAAAAATCTCCCCCACAAACCAGGGATAGGGATAAAAAACAGTACACTGCAGACGTATACAGCAGGTTGGAAAACTCTAGCACCAGTATGTGAGTCATGATGCTTTATCAGAACATGTGACAATATACACAATAGATACAACATAATGAGCCATACACTGCTCAACAGTGACACTCTTCATCCATCCATTCTGACGAACACTTAACACCTGACCACGTCTGTCACAGTGCCGACACACAGAGAGACAAACATTCACACCTACGAGCAATTTATCATCACAGCAGCATGTTGTTGGACTGTGGAAACCCACACAGACACGTCATGGTATCTATACGGTGAAGTTCAACATCAAGAGAGGCACATTTACCGTCAGATTGTCAACGTGCTGCTAGTTTATCTCAGTGTTACGGCAAATGTGTCGTTCTTGGCTGACAATGCAAATAAAAAAGCTTGACCTTTTGACTGTCGACCACCAAATTATAATCTGTTCATTCTGAACATTAAGGGAAATTCCCTCAAGTTTTTCTTGCGATATCGCGTTCGCAAGAATAAAACTGATGCAAGGTCACAGTGACTTTGACCAACAAAATCTAATCAGTTCATCAATGAGTCCAGGTGGAAGCTACTGCTAAATTTGGGGAACTTCCCTCAAGGCTTCGTTTTGATATCACATTCACGAGAATGAGACAGATGCAAGGTCACAGCGACCTTGACCTTTGACCGAAGAAAATCAAATCAGTTCATTGTTGCATCTAAATGGACAAATTTTGAAGAAATTCCATTAAGGTGTTCTTTGAGATATCGTGTTAATGAGAATGAGACAGATGAGGTCACAGTGACCTTGACCTAGGAGCACCAAAATTAGATGGTCTGTTTGTTGAAATTATGAATTATCACATCATGTGATACAAAATTATCCGTAAGGGACTTAAAATATCCACATTGAATTCCTCCGCTGATAAATACGACCAGGTTAGAAATAGGTTTAGGTTAGAGGCTAGGGAAGGCTTTAAGTCAATGAGGGTTTACACAAAGATAGTAATACAATTAGTGTGTGCATGTGTGTGTTTGTGTGTGTTTGTATTACATACGACAGGAAGTTCTCCCATGTTTCCAGGTAAGGATCATAGTATATGGTTCCCTCTGGTGCCCCCAGTGGTGAGGAGGTGCTTTTATGAAGCGTCGACCCAGAGGAGGCTACATCTGTCCCAGCAGCCCCCGCCTCCGAGCTCATACCTGCTGAGTGACCCAGACTGGGGCTGGTCGTGGAAGTCTGCATCTGTTTATTCAAAGTCCAGTTAACTTGACTCGACCTCCGTCGGTTATATCGACCGTAAACTCCGTAACCTGTTCCACTGCTCCGAAACACAGAGTCTGCTGGAAGGAGGTGGGAGGAGTTTCGTCTCAGGCAGCGAGGAGCACGGAGCAAGGGGCGGGGTGTAATGTTTTCCATAACGACCGCCTGGGTTAAGTGCATCTGAGCTGAAGGCCTGGAGCTTACATCTTCATCGCTCCCTTCCTCTCCATCTGACTCAGAACAGGAGCTCACGGAGCCATCCTGTTCCTCTTCCATCTCTATCACTCCTCCACCCATCTGGACTACGCTTGCAAGTAACATGGAGGATCCAAGTAAATGAGGTTCGATAGATTTTATCTTAGAAGGACGTCGATATCGCATCACCATCCCACGATGGACTGCGCCGGAGGCACTGCGAGCATAGGGAGGTTTATACTGCAATCCTCTTCTTCCTCTCTTGAAGATTACATCTGCTCTTTCAGTTCCTTTCCCAGATTCTCCCACTGCTTCACCCGTTTCTGTTACCTCTATGATGGACTGTCGCCTCTGTCCACTGGCCACCAGTAAGCCAGCACTGGGGCGCCTGCGCTGGTCAGAAAAAACTGGAGGTAAACCAACAGAGGAGCGTCTGGACTGCACTAATGCTACAGAGGGCAGACCAGCACTAGAGCGCCTCCTGGCTTTACTGGTCTGAAGAGCAGGACCAGGCGGACGCGCTGCGGCCGCATGCTTCTGTCTTTTCTGGCGGCGGCGGAAATGGCGATGAAAGAAGAAATCCATCATGTCTCGGAGTGCGGTGCAATACGGAAGGTACTAAAAAAGATATGCAGCATCTGATAAGATGTGCTTGGGTATAGAACATAGCAGTGCTGTTTCCATGTCTTCTCTGGTACCAAGCTTAAGGTTAAAGGTTTTAATATCCATGCAACAGAAGACGGTTTCCATGGTTATTGATGGTAGTCCAGCTTCTCTCTGCTCCAGTCTTCCCTTAGAACTGCTGGAGGGACAAATAGGCTTTTCTGTTTATTAAAAGTGTTCCCTATATGACATCAGCAAAGACAATCACCTCTATTAATTCACTGATACTGATACAAGTCTTGCATATTGCAGTGATGATGACTTACATCCATTAAAGTCAACTGTTCCCATGCTTAATCATCTAACCAGCTGTTTAATTAGATCAGTGGATCCCTGATGCAGTGCTGTTTTGTTCAAAGTCACTCAGGTCATTAAAACTGATGTCAAGCAGAAGCCCTTTCACTGCTTCCCTCAACATCCACAGTATGACCACTTCCAAGGTATACCATTATATAAAAGCTGACAGTGTACATTTGCTTATCTATGACACTGAAAAAACTTTTCACACATACAGTGGCATGCAAAAGTTTGGGCACTCACTCACAGTCATTGTTAGGAAAGGCCAGGTGATGTAAATTTCAAAGCTTTATAAATACTCTGACTCCTGAAACCTTGTCCCAACAATCAGCAGCCATGGGCTCCTCCAAACAGCTGCCTAGGACTCTGAAAACTATAGCAAAGTGTTTTCAGGTAGCTGTTTGTAATGTAGTTTTGAAATGGCACTTAACAGGAACTGTCGAGGTCAAGCTGAGGTCTGAAAGACCAAGAACACTTTCAGAGAGAGCTCCTCGTAGGTTTGGTAGGAAGTGAAATCAAAACTCCTGTCTGACTGCAAAAGACCTGCAGGAAGATGCCATGTAAAATAAAGGCATTTTAATGTTTGCACAAACCCTACAGAGTGCTTTGGATTGTGTTTGAAGGAGATTTGCACGTTATATTTTTCATTTGAGGGTATACTCATGCAGTGAGCCCTTTGCAAGGTGGACGAAACGCAGTACTACTAAGACCCAGCAGTACTTCCACCGCTTTGTCTTCTTTCGCTCAGCATTTATTTTATCTACGTGACGTGGGGGTTTCCTACCCAGAAGTTACTGTTAACAAATGTCATGATTTTATCTATATTGCACTTACATTTATCAGATGGACACAGTCATGACCCCAAATGAATGCTTGTGTCACTTCTTGGCTTCTGACTTGGCAAAACAACACCTACTTGTTGGCTTCACAACTGTATGAACTGATGTACTGTACGTGTCAGCTCTTGGTGGACTTCCTGGGCCACCCAAACGCCGGAAAACTAAACAAATACAGCATCAGTAAAGTCAGTCTCATGCAGTATCAGCATTTAAACGACTTTAGAGCTCAATTAAATGATTGGAAAAGGTGTACTACTTAGATGCTCCACAGACTCTCAGCCCAAACCTGAGGCGTCATCTCTCTAACTCTGAAATTATTAAGAGTGTTACTCAGCAGATCCTTGTTATGTTTGATATCTTGCCCTTCTGGTGCTTTTAATCTTGCTTTCCACATCAGCACCTCTGCTTTCCATCACTTATCAGACAACACAGCGGCACACGCCCTATGCTGTGTCTCATCTGCAAAGATTAGACGTATAAATCTGTCTAATCTTTGTGATTCCTGATAAGCAGTGCTAATGCAAATGCACTGAATTCACATTTAGCTCTGGGGTCTTACAGTGTCTGTGACTATAAGTGTACTGGGTTCATCCAGAGTCATGCTCTGATTTCTCTTAATTTCCCCATGCTTGATGGGATTTCTTCTCTCAAAAGTATAAATCTGTCGCTCTGAGCCCCAGGGTATTTGGTGGACCGAATTTTGCTGAGTCTGACAGTATCAAATTATGCTGTCACTGGCAGAAACGTGAGCTAAAGGTAAATTGAGAGAGCACTTTGTCCGACAATACCACAAAAACTTATCTGAACTCATTAGCTTCACATAAGACCAAGACCACAGATTTAACTATAGAGCGCCTCCATCCATTGATCTGAATGAAGTTAGATTACTTGGTGTTGCTGGTTGAAATTAGGAGCCCGGGGAAGGATTGGCATTCAAATTAAGTTAATGAGTGCAGTGCAGATTTGTGTACTATTCATCCCTACAAAAAACTAGACAGAACTTTCATTCATTCAGGACTGAGCGAGGCAGACATTATAAACTTGTAACTGAGTGTATATTTGGTCAGGATGACCAAATATGTCTCACCCTGCCAGACTATGGGTAGCTTTGCATATGAAACAAAAGCCAACATGAGGTCCGAAACTGCAACAGGCAAAAGTACAAACTGTGAAATCATTAACTCCTTTTACCGTAGCACCTCTGTCCTTTGTTATCGTAACTGTCAGCGAAGCATCGAATAGCTGTAGTGTTTCCTGCTGCAGACACAGTTCAGTGGAGTTTACAGTAAACTAACACTCGAGTTGTTCAAAAGTATGAAACACAAAAGAGCTCTGTGGTTGTGTGAGGTGGGCAAATCAACAGATGATCTGTTCCATATATTTCTTTCTAGTTTGATCACT